TTCTACCAAGAAATGATATTATTTCCACAGTTTATGTCATCATGTCAGACCTGCTGGACATTATTTCTTATTTAATAGAACTGTTATCTCTGGCGCCAAAGGACATCTTATGTCATGGTGCTTGTACCATAATGGACTCCTTGTATTTCTAATACCTCAGTTCCCTTCCCTGTCTGCTTTCCTGCTTGTTTTTCCCTTCAGTTTTTCCCCAGTTTTATTTCAAAAATTCAAAAATCTTATTGCTATCATCAGTTTCACCTGCTCCTACTAGTTCTGCTCTTTGTTTAGTCCTGTTTCTCTCTCATTCTGTCTGTTTGTCTTATTTACACTTCACCCTTCCTTTTGTTTACCCTCACCCTCTGGACCAGCACTTTCAATTGCAAAGTGATTGCACAGGTTGCCTAGTGGGAGGCGACTTGAAGACTTGCAAATAGTTACAATTTATAATTTAATTTGTTGCACTTGCAGAAAGATAACCAACATATTGCAACCAATCAGAATTAGTCTTTCCTACAGAACACAATGTGATGTTCTTTATTGTGAGGGTTTTTTTATCCGTATGTAGAGGGTAACAGATTTGCAGTAGACTTGCAACAGATTTATCACACTTAATCAGACAAAAGAGTGCATGTAATTGCCTGCCTAACTCCATTCAAACACAAATAAACAGCAGGCTGACTCTGTCTAATTGCCACTTTATCACTTCTTACAAAGTTACTTTGAAGATGGCATGTGACTGTGACCAGTCTCAGACTTGGCTACCATCTTTGAGGCAACCAAATGAGTGACAGCAAGATCATAACTACACTGGTCATACTTTTTATTTGCTAAATATTCTTCTTCTGTTTGCATTAAGGTCATTTTAAAATACACATACCACACTGGCTGCAACCAGATTCATTGAACAAAATGGCAATACCTTGACACCTTGAGATGTGAAAATGCCTTGTGCCTGATGTAATGTTGTGTGTTTATTGGCACATTTTGGGCCCTTTAGTACAAATAGTGCACTGAGCCTTGTTGCTGACCATGTCCAGCCCTTTCTGACCACAGCTGCTTTCAGCAGAATAATGAACCATATCACAAACCTCCAGTCACCTCAAACCCGAATCTTGAACATGACTGCACTGTATTCAAATGGCCTCTGCAGTCACCAGAGCATCTTTGGGATGTGGTGACACAAGGGATTCACATCATGGCTTTGATATACAATCTGCAGCAACTCTGCTTTCATGTCAATATGGATCAAAATCTCTGAGAAATATTTCCAGTGTGCGTGTCACTGCGGCAAAATATTTTCCCGATGACAATCACCAGCTCCACCAGGTGTTTGTGCATCTGTCTGTTGCGATCTCATCACAGAAATAATCTTGAGTTATTTTTACATTCTTTGTCAGTCTAACTGTGAAATTTGCAACTAATGGGCTGCTTCTACAGACTTCCATTATACTGTAATCTAGTCACCCACCCAGTACCCAGTCCTACACTTGTACTTCATATATTCCTGTGCTAAAAATGTTAGGATGTCTCTTCTCTTCAGATTTTAATTCCTTTGAATATTATCTTTGTTTTTGTTTTTTCTTCTTTTTTCATTTTTCTGCTGCACAGTCCAATCCCCCTGCTCCCCGAAACAAGCTAAGTCTTATCTCACATAGACACAGACAAACACGAAAACACACTTAAAAAGATTAGCTGTACTTCCTGTTTATGCCCTGAACCCCCAAACACAGAGAGGATCTGTGTTTGGGGGTTCAGAGCAGAAACAGATAATCTGCCTTGAAACATAAATGTCTTCTGTGTAGTTTGCGATGAGCCCCACTGACAGGCACTTTTATTTGATGTACAATTAGAGAAAGCATTTATTTGATTGGATTGTAATCCCCTATTGTGAGAGTAAAGGAGCCACGAGCTATTTTTAGGTCTATTTGAGAATTTGACAGAGCTTTAGACAGAAGGCTGATGGGAAAGAAAAAGGCTGCATTTTGTTTACGGATCCCATTAAAGCTGCTTGTTGACCGAAGCAACTTTACTGTAAATGAATGCTTAGGTTTCCTGTACATGCTTTAATAAATTAATGACAACAAACATGAATACACACACACAGGAACACAAATACTTCCTCTAAGTCATTGTTTTCTCTTTTGGTTTAAATTCTCTTATATAGTAACAGCACAGCATCACCAGAAAAACAACTGTAAAGGGGTTCAAATGGCCAGTGTTTATGTAGTATGTGGTGTTATTTAGAAATTTAGAGTAAGCGAGAGACACTGTATTGCCTTTGCCAAGTATTTGCTTGTCTGCCTTCACATGCATGTGAACTTGAGTGACATCACATTCTTAATCCATGGGGTTTAATATGATGTCAGCTCACCCTTTGCAGCTATAACAGCTTCAACTCTTCTGGGAAAGGATTTCCACCAGGTTTAGGAGCGCGTTGAAATTTTTGTCCATTCTTCCAGAATGACATTTGTGAGGTCAGACACCGATGTTGGATAATCATCCATGTCTTTATGGACATTATTTTGTGCACTGGTGTGCAGTCATGTTGGAACAGGAAGGGTCCATCCCCAAACTGGTCCCACAAAGTTGGGAGCATGAAATTGCCAAAAATGTCTTGTTATGCTGAAGCATTAAGAGTTTCTTTTACTGGAACTAAGGTGACTGAGGGCAGCTCGTGAAAAACAAGCCAATGCTGTAATGCCTCCACCATCAAACTTTAGACTTGGCACAATGCAGTCAGACAAATACCATTCTCCTGGCAACTGCCAAATCAGGACTAATCCAATGGATTGCCAGACAGAAAAGTGTGATTCGTCATTTCAGAGAGCACATCTCTGAGAGCGCACCACTGTAACTGACATTTGGTTTAGATGCAACTGCTCGGCCCACTCCATGAAGCTCTCTGCGCACTCTTCTCGAGCTGATCGGAAGGTCACGTGAAGTTTGAAGGTCGCCCTGTGATTTTACGTGGCCTGCCACTTCTTGGCTGAGTTGCGATCGCTCCCAATCGCTTCAACACTAACAGATGACTATAGAATAGTCAGCAGTCTGTAGTGAGCACAAGTTGCACAAGTAGCATCCTATCAGAGTACCGTGCTGGAATGCACTAAGCTCCTGAGAGCAAAGATGAATATTAATATAACCAGGTTAAATTTTGATATGGCTTTAAGCTATACATCATACATATGTATGGCACTTTGAGTAGCAGGTGGATGCTGACACAGGAGACTGCAGGCCAATCACTTTCTGTCTGCTATGCTTTACCTCAGGCGATATGAGCCACTGAACTAAATCTCTCGACCTTGTTCATTTTGGAGCGCTTTGGAGCCTTGAAAGGAGTAAAATATCTGACAAAATAATATGATCTGCTGTGCAGTTAACTGTGCCAACAGACCAGGAGGGCTGCACTTCAGTTAGTGAATTTCTGGTATTTTATTTGTAGGCATCTAGCTGGCCCTATGTTATGAGTTAGCTTCTGCTACCTAATATTTGGACTGCAGCTTCTTATCCATTTATGCCTACTTGTTAAATGTTAAATTCAGAGGGCTCATATTTGCTTTTGGGAGTCACTGGCAATCAGCAAATTTTAATGCACACGACTATGGTTTGATATATGAACAAGTAAACAGCTTTTGCTTACTATACTTATTCCTTTTATTATAGTGGCAGCTAAAAGTTTCCCCTTCTGTAGAAGTGATGCAGAGCTAAGTGCATCGTTTTGTGTTTTGTGTTTTGTGTTTTGTGTGTCTCTCCTCTCTGAGTCAGCTGCAGTACAGGGTAGAAATGAAAAGATGATATTCACGTGTAAGGCGTATATAGCTGGATGAAGCTAGAACTGATAGTTCACAGGACAAATCTGAGGGGCAATGAGTGAGTAAAAAACAAGGTTCTGTAACACAAATTAAAGCTGCACCCACACTGGAAGCAATTCTCAGTAATAGTATTCTCAGATACCAGAAACTGAATGATGTTCGGCGATTGAACCTGGTACAGGTTAAATAACTGCTGCCATCCAAGATAAACATTTCTCGACTTTCAGGTGAGACCTTGAAATGACTACCAATTACAGCACCATGTACCAGTGACTGACATGTATGCTGAATATAGAATAGACAATTGCCTACTAATTAGGTAACTTTCAGCTTCAAAGCAGTGTGCAAGGAGTGGATCACTTCCAGTGTAGATGCAGCTTCCGCC